ACAGAAATTGAAGCTAAACGAACTTAAAACATATTCATTGTATAACTATTACTAGCTTTCTGCTCGCGGCTTCGTCCGGGGGTTTCCCGGAAATTATTCGAATTTTTCTCTTCGTAAAAACCATCCTTGGACTTCAAAGAACATAAAAAAAATAATTGGTAAAATTGGTCCAGGCGTTGTTGAGTTATGTGCTTACCAACACATTTTGATAAAGATGTAATAAGATAATAAATACCTATTTAGATAAAAAAAGTAGGAAGCTAGAGTCTTACATAAATTATGTATATAGTTTCTTTTTCATGTATGAAGTCCAGCAAGAATAAATATTTATTTTATTTCTAATTCCTTGGACAAAAAAATTTTAATGCGTAAATGAATTAGGTAGGTACCTACGAGTACAATGATTCTGTGTTTTTGTATTTAGGTATCAGTTTTTGTAGTAATGGTAATCTTACAAAGTCTAGTCCTCACTGATGTCATGTCTATGATTACATTTTGGAAATTATAGACAAGTTTTTACACAGTAAAGTTTTTTAAACAGTTGCTATGGCACTTATAACCGTATGCAAATTTTAATCTAAGTCTTGCTTTAAAACTTGTTCATAATTTCTTAATTTTTGTGAGAGTCAACAGTGATTGTAAACAGGAGACTAGTTGTTTAGAAAGTTAACTGTTGAAAATCTATTAAATATTTGTTATTTTACTCGTATCATCCTTTTTTGGTGTACTTATAGGTGCTTCCGGGAGCATATCGCCAGAAACTAAACGCAAAATCGAATCTTGCATTTTCTGTTCGAATGCACTTGTAGGCTTGGGATGCGCGCCATGTAAACGTTTATCGAGGCATTTTATCGATTTTACGTGATAAACCGAGATAAATAATATGCATCTATTTCGTCTTACAAATATTTTAATTAGATAAAAATACTATACANTATTTATTTCTGTGCACACAAGTTTAGAAATTATTATTCTAATACATTTAATCCTTTTTCATCCTTTTCCTTTCTAGCTGAGTCGTAAAATTTTCTCACGGAAAATCGCTACATATTATTATAATCCATAACTTTTTTCTACTTGTTCCCAATTGTTCTGCGGTAACAATACCAAAACAACATTGTTCGGTATAATATTGTGCGTCAGAGCCGCCGGCTAAACACACCCTAACTGCGTAATCATAGGCTTTCAAATAATAGAGGGCTGCCCATATAGAATTGCCATAAAACGGTAGTTATTACTTAAATAATTTCTAATATATTCGTACTTAATTATGGTGTGCATTTTGTGAGCAGTGATTGGAATTGAAATCGATAAGCCAGCTGTAGAAGAAATTAAATAAGAGCAATAGGTTTCGTTACAATATTTGAGCTGATGATGACAATCGCAGTCTTTCAAGACCCAGTGCTTTTAAGACATTAAAATATACATTTTTCTACGATATTTTCTCCCTTTGGTATTATAATTATTCCTAAAATAATTAATGGACAGAAAATATATGCTTAATATAAAGGATTACTTATTTAAGCTTTCATTCAACGCCACATGTTATATTTAGAAGGCAGGTACCATCAACATTGACAACAATTTACTAAGTGCAACTTTATTGTTGTAGGTGGTGGCTGTTAGCTCTTGTCTCCGTTCCAATCGAAAAAAGCTCATCGACGCCCTGGCACTTGTAAAGAGCACTTAACTTGATTACTTGGGCCGATGTGTGTGTCCGTGAAAAAATTGAGGGTGGTATACTGAGCCACGCGCCGTCGAAACCCTAGCACGTGGTTCGTAGCGTGTAGCCAACGCGTCTACAACACTAAATGGCGATGGAACGCCTCTGCTTTTAAATCCGATAAATATGGATCAAGAACAAGCACACACTCTATTTTAATACGAGTCTGTAACGATTACACTGGTAACTGTCATTTGAAACATAAACTAACAAGTAGTCGGTTCGTAAAATTCACGAAATTACCTTACCTTCCTACATAATTGGATATTTAACCCAATAAAATATGACTACTACTACTACACTTATTATTATTCTTTGCGACTACTACTGTTGGGGAGTTCGAAACTTAGAATCTCGAGTAGTAGGTAACCACAAATTGGAAGAAACAGTTTGGATAGACAGATTGTATGAAGCTGCTGGATTCTATCTAGAGCCTCTAGATTAGAGAGAATGATGATGACATAATAAACATTGTAGAGCTTGGCATTCCAAAATTCATGAATCAGTTGCGGCAAATGTAAGCCGTTGAAAATATTTTTATTGAAGAATATAAAATTACGTCTTGCTTACTTTGATTTCAATGGCAGACTAATGCACAGATTACTCAGTAACCTTACATAAACTATGTAATGTGTTTCTTTTAAAATTATACTGATTGGAAAGGAAGGTTGCATATTAAACATATAAAAAACAGTACAGAGTTATTCATTATTAAATTATCATAAGATCTTATTATGACTCAGCCTGTAGAAGTATAATATGTGCCTCGTATGGCAAATGTAGAAGATAAGTTGTAAATAAATAGGTAAATTACCTTTACCTACTTATTACAGGTTTTAATTTTTTGTACTATTTATTATAATGTTTCGCTTGATATCCCTTCACTTTTGGATTACCGGCCTTAGTGAACTATCATTAAATTATAATTGTTAGGAATCCATCAAGTTAAGTACAAAAATGTCTATTTAAATCATGTCAATGTTAAAATAGTAAAGTAAATCGTTTTACCTGTTTGTTAAACGTATTATTCAAGTTACTGTAACTATGCGGGATTATGGTTTACCCTATTCAGTAGAATACTCAAGTTAAAATACTGTATAGCATGTAAATACTTATCTACGAGTAGAACAAAACAATAATTTAATGCAGATAGAACAAAAACAATTAATTCGTTTCTTTAATCTATTTCTAAACTTGAATTTCTTACGGATTTAATGCAATGAGTAACAAAAAGTGAACTGTGAAGGCATCCGCTCTGGTTTTCAGTTATGCCTAAGATTACTCGTATGGTAGGTAATCTTTCCGAAAGTCAGAGAAAGCCGATTTGTGCAAATATACCGTGTAAAATATTTATATTACCACAAAAGGCTTAATTTATGTAAGTATAAATGGGATTGTTAAATTACTTGTTATGATCCACTTGCTCTACATGTCACAGAAATTGAAGCTAAAGCTAAACGAACTTAAAACATCATTGTATACTATTACTAGCTTTCCGCTCGCGGCTTCGCTTGGGGGTTTCCCGGAAATTATTAGAATTTTTCTCGCTGTAAAAACCATCCTTGGACTTCAAAGAACATTAAAAAAAAGAATTAGTAAAATTGGTCCAGGCGTTGTTGAGTTATGCGCTTACCAACACATTTTGATTAATTTTTATATTAAAGAAGATGTAATAAGATAAAATAATACCTATTTAGATAAAAAAGTAGCAAGCGAGATTCTTACTTATCCTGGGTAGTTTCTTTTTCAGGTATGAAGTCCAACAAGAATAGAAATATTTATTTTATCTCTAATTCCTTTGACAAAAAAACTTTAATGCGTAAATAAATTAGGTACCTACGAGTACAATGATTCTGTGTTTTTGTATTTATCAGTTTTTGTAGTAATGGTAATCTTACAAAGTCTAGTCCTCACTAATGTCATGTCTATGATTACATTTTGGAAATTCTAGACAAGTTTTTGCACAGTAACGTTTTTTAAACAGTTGCTATGGCACTTATAACCGTATGCAAATTTTAATCTAAGTCTTGGTTTAGAACTTGTTCAAAATTTCTTAATTTTTGAGACAACAGTGATTGTAAACAGGAGACTAGTTGTTTAGAAAGTTAACTGTTGAAAATCTATTAAATATTTGTTATTTTAGTATATCATCCTTTTTTGGTGTACTTATAGGTGCTTCCAGGAGCATATCGCCAGAAACTAAACGCAAAATCGAATCTTGCATTTTCTGTCCGAATACACCTGTAGGCCTAGGATGCGCGCCATGTAAACGTTTATCGAGGCATTTTATCGATTTTACGTGATACACCGTGATAAACCCGTACATTTGACGTCTTAAATCATCGACAAAATTTATCACGGCAGGATTCCTAGACCGTCTGGTGAGGAGGACCTTCATAGTCCTCCGTCACACTTACCTTCCAGAGCCTTGTTCCTTGCTAGCAGCGCGAGCAGCACATCGGGCGGCGGCGGATCAAGCGCGTGCATGCCCTCCAGCGGCGAGCCCAGGCCCTCGCGGCGCTCGCACTCCTCCTCCCCGAACCCGCCTTCCATCAATCCACTAAACCCAAGCACTGTAAACATCCACCACCGCAGCCCGCGACCGCGCAGCGCATCCCGCAGCGCACACGTAAACACAGCACCTGGCCGCCGACTAGAACGCGGGCGGCACGTGGCGGCGCCGCCCTAGCCCGCCCTCGCCGCCGCTCCTCGCACCGCCCTCCTACCTCCCATTGAGAAGTCATTTTTCACCCCCCGAATCTGATAAACCCTCGGGCGACGCGCGGGGCTCCCCCGCCCCGAACTAATTTGCCCGAGTCGCACGACACACCCCCGGTGCTTACATCCATCTACAATATTACTCCAGCACGTTATCCCGTTCGCAGGGGCACTTCGTTTCTACTCATCTGGTATCGTTGCGAAGAAAGGGAATTCTGAAATTAAAGTCGCTTTCATGCTTTCTTTCGCGGAGGATTTTGTTAATGAATTCATCTCGTGCTCGTCATTTCGTTTTTATTTTAACCTTTTTCATCTCAATATAGGTATTTTAAGTTTACCTCGTGTTTTCCGTGCTTTCAATACACTTTCTTGAACACAGTTTCATTATTGTGTAGCTTTACATAAGAACTTGTTTGGTAAAATATAATTATTTATACTTTGATGTGTTCCCATTATAAAAAACTAAAGATGTCAATTTTAATCAACATGTAATCTGTCAATTTAGCACTATTTACTGGAAATCGTTATATTTTTTATTTTTAAATAACTAGTATTTACAATGTCTACGTTTCAAAATATGTTTCTACGTCCTAAACCCGAAGAATGCGACCGATACAACCCTGATAACGTTTTCAGACGATTCAAAATGATAGAGTTTCCGACATCGTTTGTAGGCCTGTCGACTACGAAGGCTCTTGATGTCGAAGTTAATTTAACTGTGTCTGCTTACTTGAAGACCATGTATGATAGCAAACTGCTGGTAAATATTCGAGTGTTTTATCGTATCTAGATTATGTCAGTATTTCACAAAATGTTGAGTAATGTTTTTTGTACTTTGTGTAGAAATTCGAAGATGCCCGCGAAATATCAGCTGCTCATCGAGCATTCGATATGTCTCCAGTGGATAACCACACAGTATCAATCACTTTTAACCCGAAGAGCGAATGCATTTCGAAAGTGAAACATAACAAACAATTTGACAACAGATTTGTGTTCGACTTGCGGTTAATACAAGTGGATGGAACTCGATGCTGTAATAATGAATTTCACTCGGAAATCGGACGATACTATATCTGCGGAGAGTTCGAATATTGCAATATAACACACACCCCGTCTGTAGTAAACTTCGGTAATGTTATTATGAACACCAAGGTCACAAAGTATGTGCGCATCAGAAATGAATCTAATTTAATAGCTGCCAAAATGCAGTATGTTAGAGTGACGGGCTTTGAAGTAACGCCACAAAAGTTTTCGATACCACCGAATTCTTCTAGACGGCTGGCTATTGCAATAAAACCAACGTGCTTGAAAATCGGAAACAAATTAACATTTCAAATAAGAAACCCTCACGATATAGCAGACGAGATTACAGCTATTGATGACAATTATTTAATTTATGCAATCACACTTGAATCTAACGTTATATACCACAAAAGTCCGAAAATAGTGACTGTGGAATCTTTACACACGTTATGTGAAAAACATCCAAGATATACCTATTTGAACGAAGAACTTACTACGCACATGAAGAGAAAGGAAATTGCATGGAAATATCTAGAAATTTCTAAGTCGTTACACGCCAAAAAACCAGTCATAGAACGATTTAGTACTGGAAAAGATAAATGCACTTATGACATGCCTGTAGACATCAAAAAGGGAGATCCTAACTTTTGTAAACAAATAGCGGAGAAAATAAGTACCTACAGTCTTTTCGACGTTTTATTTTTGCCTTTTTCTGTTGATTTCGGTAGAGTCGGTTTATCGACTTATGGAGAAAAAGACCTTACGATAAAAAACAATAGTAAATACGATGTTGTTATTAATTTACTGAGAGACACTTGTGTATTATACACTGCAGAAAAAGTGTATACTTACCGAGTAAAATTAAAAGCTTTTGCAGAAACAAAAGTTACTATATTTTGCTGGGGTTTTGTTGAAGGAAACTACGAAGGAACATTTGAATATACGATTGACAATAAATATCTCCGAAAGCATCCTTATTGCCTTCAAGTTGGTAACCCAACCCTAATGGTATTGGAAAAGAGTTTGAAATTCGGTATGGTGACCACTGAAAGTTTTGTCACTTCCGTTTCAGTTCGAATATACAATTATTTCAATGTTAGTGTTGGTTTTTACTGGGACGAATTGCACCCAGACACCCCATTTGAAATAATTCCTTCTTCAGGCTTGATACCAAAACATACGTGCAAGATTTGTGATGTTATGTATGTGTGTAAAGCAACCAAAACCAAAACACATGAGGTTGATCTGATAACTGAAAGTAAAGTCCAAAAGGTCGTTCCTCTAGAATTGAGTGTTATAACCCGGAAGCTTTCAATCAAGTTTTTACAACCAGCAGTTATATTCAAAGATATCGCCTTGAATATAGAAACTATAGAAAGAGTGAAATTAGAGAATTCTTCACGAGAAATCGCACTGTTTCATGTCGTGGAGCCACTTATTCCTGGTTTTCGGATTGAACCAATGTGTGGGACGATAAGACCGAAAATGGTGATAACATTCGAAATCATCGTAAAAATTTCATGCATATTGGAATTTTCCTTTGATATTTACGTAAAAATCAATAATAAAGAAAATGTGATTCTACCTGTAAGTGGGAATGTTGTGGAACCGAAGCTCATAATACACCCAAAGTATATTTATATGTCACGCGTCCCATGCAATATGATAACTTATATTCCAGTGACATTCCAGAATATCAGCACTCTGAAAACATTCGTGGAAGTATTAGATACAGGAGATGACAACATATTCAATGTTTACATAGCCGTAGGAAACGAGAAACAAAGAGTGTTTGAATTTGATGTTGAAGGCGGCCAATCAAAAACCGTTTTCATAAAAGTGTTTGATATTTTTCGTAGAGAATACGAAATGTACATTCCATTTAAAATCAATGGACTATTAGGACCTCCAGACTTGAACACTTGGTCAACTGAACTTCAGCACTATATTGGAGAATATGAACAGTTCGTAAACTGACACATTTTTTTTATATTTTACATAAGTTGTAGAGATTTATTGTATGTTTTGTTTCTATTTCAGATGCTACGAAAATAATCCCAAGGTAAAAATTAAAACTATCAATAAGGATATTACATTTTGTCGAATGGCTGGCGTGATAACCGTACCTTGGATTCAATTTTCTCTTGAAAAATTTGAAATTGATTATATTCCTCACTCTACCAACACAAAAGAATTCACTATGACAAACATATCCAAGTATTACTTGTACGTTACAATATTAACCTCAAAACTTGCGCCAAGTTTTACTCTAGATTTACGAACAGAAGAAAACCAATCTATCATAAATGAAACCAATATCAAATTCGAACTGGATCGCCAAAAGGAAGCTAGTTTTTCCTTAAAGTTTCATCCAAAAGGTCACGGAAAATTTGTGGCTACTGCTCTTTTATATTTGGACAAACATATGACAATACCTTACTACAACCTTACATTTGTTGGAAAACGACAAACGCCTGCTTTAACTCCCAGTACTTACAGAATAGTTTTTCCACCCTATCACGTAGGGGAGAAAATAACTCGAACAATCACATTGAAATTGGAAGATAAATCGGATAAGGACTCATTCTCCTGTATTTCAAGAGAAGAAACAAACTTGAATGTGCAGTTCCTGGACTATGAAGTACAACTAGAAGGAGAACAAGTTTACACCATGATAACAGTGGAAATAGAAGTTTGCTGTCAGATAACTTACGCCAGAAATTTAACTCTGACATTTAATCATGATTGTGGCTCTGGTTGCGATGTGGAAGTATCATTCTGCTTTACGTATTGTCCTCTAACTTTGCATACAACATATTTTGTGAAGCCAACAGATAACCCTTACCCATACTTCCCTCTTAGTACACAAACTGAATTGTATGAATATTTAGAAGAATGCGCAAAGTTTTTGGAAAAGTGGATGTTTCAGCAAGGGTTTCGTAGAGATCTCTATCCAGTTATACCAGACACTTTCCATGCAATATCTTCAGCATTATCTTCGCAACCGGGAGGTACTAAATCAAAAGGCATCAATGTTTCTTATCTGAATTTTGTGAGAAGAATCGCAGGTCCCTTGATGAAGCATATTCGAAAAATATCGTAAGTTTCAGTTATATTTACTCGTAACTTTTAACACAGACATACCTACCTCTTAGTTTTATATTCGTTTAACTTTCAGAGTGCATGGTATTGACGAGTCATTTAAATGTATTAAAGAAATTCATGACACCTACAGAGAAATCCTTAATTTGTTGAAATCACGTGGAGCAGATTTGTGGGTACTACAAGCAAAATTCTTGTTGAGCTATGATCAATTTGTCATTTATGCTGAGAATGTGACCCCTAAATGTAATGCTGACATCATATTGAATAAGGAACTCCTGGCTGATGTGAATTTATTTAACAGACTCAACAAACAAAGCTGGATTGATTTTATTCTCCAAAGTTATAAGGTGTTCATAATGGACAGCTGCTTCTTTGACTGCGTCTGTGTGAGTTCTCAACCCAGAGATATCATTAAAGTACTGATCGATTGGTACAATGAACAAATAGCAATACAGCATAATAAGTTACGGGGAAAAGATAAACCTGTTAAAGTAATCACTAACATCACAACGGACTTATCAGATGGCATTGCTATAGCATCATCAATATTAAACTATTGTTCTTTTATGAGTGATCATTTTTTTATATTTTGTGAGATTGATGAAGATGACCCAAAGGGTGGTATCATTAACAATGCCTGCCTTATTATTGAAGCTATGAATTTATTAAGACTCTATTTTCCCTTACACAGTAAAGACTTTCTGGAGCCAAACTTTATTCAGATGTTATTTCTGTCTATTCATCTGTACGTGGTGCTCCCAATGTTTAAGCCAAAAGATATTATTAAATTCAATCCACCATTGTTACGAAGTTCTACGCGACAAGTAGCAATAGCACCTTCAAGTCAAGAATCGCTGATATTTACTTACATGATTCTAAACAATACAAGAAACAATTTCATAGTTGAAAAGGCTCCTTCAGGTGATAATGGAAAGAAAATGTTTTTGAGCGTAAAGTTTATCGCAAACTTTACAGACGAAGAAACATGCATACTTCTCGTTCACGGATATAATAAAACGAGAATATTTGATACATATATGATTTTTTTACTTCATGGTCACATTGGATCACTAAACCCAGTCAGAAAGTGTAAAGTGACCGGTCCCTTGTACCGTCCAAATAAAGTGGATGTTTTGGTATCATCACCGTTCCAAATGACGGCCTCCTATCGTGTTTATTTAACTGACAACGAACCTGTAATACCTGTGAAATTCGAAGAGGAACATAAGCCTAAATTTTATTTGAGGCGACTCAACCAAATAGATAAAGAAATCAATTTGAGTGGCTTACCGAAAGAGAGTGGACAAGAGGTAATGGAGCATAAGCTTTATTTGCAGTTAATTTGTCTGAGTACTCAGATTGGGAACACCTGGATTTGGTTCAGGGGTGAGATTGGAGAGTTCTTCATCAAAGTGACGACTCAACCGCGATGGGATCTGGCTATAGACACGTTGCAAGCGCGGGTGCGCACTTGGCCTATGGACCCTTGCAGCTGCGGGGAAGCGTGTGAATGCTACAGAACGACTGTTCTTGTGATACCACATAAAAACGATCTCATGCTGAAATCATTACGTTACGCTTTACTGGAACACGCATCGGAAGTCATGATGCAAGTTTACGATCGACTCATAGGTAAAATAACTTCATATTTCATTTTATAGCATAGCAGTAGTCCTGTTATCACAAATGCGCATACTTATAGAGCAAATTAAACGCGTTTACGCTCCATTTTCGGCACAATACAAGGTCTTATTGGCCCCAAAAAGATTTTTAAAAATTACAAATCAAATTTTGATTCTAATATACTTAGTGCAACTACTTCCTGCTTCATACCTGTCGCTATATCTAAACTTATAAGCTTTACTCAAGTGTAACATATGTACTTTCCTTTCACTATATTTGGTACTTAATTGCAGAAACTGCAACTGGCAAGATAATCCTGGGCATGCTGCTAGCTGAAGGCGGCACCAACATGTCAGATGTCCAGCACATCCTACGTACTGAGACCACGTACCGCATCACGTCGCGTGCGCTGCTCCCGCGCCTCGATCGCGTCAGGCTTGCGCAGCACACGGGGGCAATGCTAGCTTTGCCCGTCACGGTACCAACCCAAGACAAGTCGGAGAAGTACTCGGTCACATTCACCTCGGAATGCGGCATGGATATCCGGACCTATAGGATCTTGTTCATAGAGACCAGCGATGGTTGAAGTGAAATTCGAGTAAAGTTTACAAACTTCCAGAATTCATAAATGTGTCGTGTTTAAAATCTACTTACTTAGTAGGTATTTCGTATTTACCTATTTTAAGTTTTATAAGTAATGTACATAATTGTTGTGATTGCCACTTTGTATCGCAAAGTTACTTTATTTATTTATGCTAATTGAATTATATCTCTGCTATTATTCTTTTTTTGAATATCAACAAAGTCCAACCTGTGCAATACAATGCGCATATTTATAATGCATTTTAAAAATAAGCAGCAGTACCTTCCTGCTNCTTCTAAGCCAACGCAATCAAAAGATACAGCCGTTTATGCCACAAATTTTCGACACTTGCAAGGGAATCAAAACCTACAGGGTACTTCCAGTCGACCTAGAATCTTGAAATTTGGCATGAAGCAACGTTTTATAGCACACATAAAGGAAAAATTCCGAAAACCTTAAATTTTTAGTTACATTACAAAATATATATTTTTTAATAAATATAAACTTATTACTTTTTTCCTCATGAACGCGTAGAGCTATCAAGTTGAAATTCATATCAAATACTTAGATCTAATTGCCTTTAACCCGTGAAAAAAAAAAAAGAGATCTTTGTCTTAAATTTATGCTCCTCCATCTTTCCCCATTGTAATGTTATGAATTTCATTTTGCAATAAAAATACCATAGTTATGACTCGATTGTCGTAATGAACGAACTTTGTAAACCTTGCAGGTTTGTACGGAACCCTCGGTGCGCGAGTCCGACTCGCACTTGGCCGGTTTTTTCTGATAATCTTCCCGCGAGATTCATTACCTATTGTGGAGATTAGATAAAATAATGAATATTAGATGAAGATCGTGCTGTATAAAATATTGTCATATTATAATAAAGGTTACTTTAATAAAAACATCTTGTGACATGTCTAAGCAAGGAGCAACTTAATTTGTTTTTTTTTTTTTACACGTTGCTATCCATCTTGATTTCAAGTTCAATAGCAATCATTATGTAACTAACCACAGTAACAAACTGATTATGTAAATTTTATTGTATTTTTTTTATTCTGTCTGTCAATATAAAATATTCCGTTGATATTTATATTAGGTTTTTCATTTGGTATATTACAGGGTGGCCCAGAAGAAAGTTCACTTTTGAAAATTCAAGAAAACGAAAACTCTACATTGTTGTAGAACTTTAACTATTGCAATTTAAAGGAAATTTTATGCATTTTTTTTTAAATTTAACTTTATTAAATTACATCGCCCAGGAGATTTTCTTGACGCTTACAACATTCGATCAACATGTATCAAAATCTTGGAATGCGTTCGTTAGAATTACCTCGAAACCTATTTTCAATTATTTGCCGAATGCTCGGCTTCAGTTGCTGCATGGTTGTTGGATTATAAAAGTATACTCTATTCTTAATGTAACACCACAAAAAAGAATTGTCTGGAGTGAGATCAGGGCTTCCTGGTGGCCAGGAGATGTCACCCCTGACTGAAAAATTTTTTTTGTGGGAACATGTCTCTTACCATCTAAATGCTCTCATTTGAAGTGTGACACGTAGCCTCATCTTGATGAAACCAAGTGCTCTGGTCATAGCCTTGCGAATCTTGCAGCTTTGAAATCAAAAAGCTTTTCAGCCTACGAGGATAGCGCTCTCAAAAATTAATCATCCTTTCAATGCAACAAACCAATTAAGCAGGGGTGAAATCTCACTGCCTCTAAGAAGCGCTAATCTCATTCCAGCAGACTTCTTTTTGTGGGGTTACCTTATGAGCAGAGTATACTCTAATAATCCAAAAACTCAGCAGCATTCATCCATCCTGAATCCATTTTGAGGTACCTCTAACGAAAGTTTTCCAAAATTTTTATGTATGTTGACCGAATGTTGTAAACGTCAAGGGAATCACATGTACGATAAAATTTATAAAAGAAAGTAAATTTTAAAATAAATTGCACTAAATTTCCTTTCAATTGCAATAGTTAAAGTTCTACAAAAATGTACAGTTTTCGTTTCCATGAATTTTCAAAAGTGAACTTTCTTCTGGGCCACCCTCTATTTGAATTTAATTTGTGCCATTAAATTGTTTAAACAATCGAAGATAATTGAGTTTTTTTCATTGCTCTAGTATTATTGCATTTTCTAGCCTTTAAGTAAAGTCATTATGAGGAAGGCCAGGACCTTAGGAAGACACTTAAAAGTATACATGAGAATAATTAATATCCCTCGAAGCTCAGTCTTGTTTTCCAAATATGGGGGTGTAGACCAGTAGACCGACCCACTCTACATTTTTGCCTAAAAATTATGGAAGAGTTTTACGTATTATATGTAAGGTGGTGGACTGGTGGTGGTCCGGTATCACTGGGGGATCCCCCCACATCTGATTTACATACCAAATAGGTATAATAAAAATATTCAGTTTTTCAATATGTACCTTAAAATGTAAATAATAACAAAACTCTTAAACGAGAGTCGGTAGCGGAAGCGATCAGGTGCCGGGTACTGGGGGGTACTACCAGCTTAGTACTACCACGTGGCGCGCGCGCTGCCTTCACCGACCCACTCGACCGTGTCAGAGGAAAAAGGGTTATACCACTAATTAAACATGGTAAGTATCCAAATTAGATTCCAAAACAAGATCTTCATTCGTAAAGTATAAACTCTACTAGCTTTCCGCCCGCGGCTTCGCCCGCGTGGAATTTTGTCTGTCACAGAAAAACTTTATCGCGCGCGTCCCTGTTTCAAAAACCGGGATAAAAACTATCCTATGTTCTTTCCCGGGACTCAAACTAAAAATCGGTTGCGAGGTTTAAGCGGGAAAGCGTAACAGACAGACAGACAGACAGAGTTACTTTCGCATTTATATAGTTGTGTTATTGAAAAAATAGTATTTTTCTTTAAAAATAGTATTTTAAAAATATATTTTTCAGTCTGAACTTTTAAAAGACTCCTTTTAGAAGACTGGTAGCATTGTGTTCTTAGATTTCAGAACTACCTATCTAACTGACGGGTTTACCTTACTATTAGGTACGTATGCAATATCCAAGCAATTGTTTGTTTTGTTACATAATACACACAGGCAATAATAATACAATATATCCAGGAGGCTATATTAAAGAAATATAACCTCCTTCTTTAAGGAAGGCATCTTTCCCTAAGCATTTCCTGATCTGGATTAAATATAGTCGTTCCGGTATTCCCATCGGAGGTATTGTAAATAACAAGGATTATTTTGCACTTAATTAATTACATAATATATGATTAGTTTCCTTGTTTTCAAACTAGCGGAAATATAGGAAAAGTGTGCCATGAGAATTTCGCGACGGGTACTGGGGCGTACGAAGTTCGCGCTCTACGACCGAGGCCGACCCATACAGTGAGTTGTGACAGCAAATGATGATGCTCTCGTTGCAGTACAGTGTCTTCTGTTACATTGACCCACAGCGACATCATCCTATTGGTCCCTCTATCTGTCCTGCCTGAAAATTTGTTGAATTTAGCTTTTTTTAATCTAGATAGATAATATCAATAGCAAAATGGTCGAAAGTCTATAACGACTTTTGTTTTTTATTTTGCTATTGATATTATTATCGATTTGATATCATAGACTTTCGAACATTTTGCTATGTCGGATTATTGCTAAGTATCCGATTGCACAACCACCCAGGATTAAAGAACTTCGATATCACCCGAGAATAATTATTATTAACTTAAAATAATTAATGAGAAAATGGATTAAAATCCATCACTACAAAAGCAAAGATCAAAATATTTGATATCATAGACTTTCGAACATTTTGCTATGTCGGATTATTGCTAAGTATCCGATTGCACCAACCACCCAGGATTAAAGAACTTCGATATCACCCGAGAATAATTATTATTAACTTAAAATAATTAATGAGAAAATGGATTAAAATCCATCACTACAAAAGCAAAGATCAAAATATAATTTTAATTACGTTAAAGACTCTTTGATGGATAACAGAGCATTTGACGATTTGCAAGAACTAATTTAATTAGTCTAAACAAATAAAGATAATTTTGATTTTGATTTTGAACAAAAATCCGTTCTTATTTAAGAATAAACAGCAGGGTAGGTATAACTTATTGCACATATTTAGGTGCAATGTTATACCCTGCTGTTTATTAACACTACTGTAGACACTTAGGCGTTCAGAAGATTTATTAAGAAGACAAATTGTTTTTATTAATCAGTAACAATCGGCAGGTGCCCTAAATGCCTAAATCAGAACATAAGTAACACTGTGCATCATAGGGAGAAAAGCTGTCTAGTGTCTATAGACTAGGTAACGAATTAATTAATTTATGTGAACAATATTAATTTATTTCATTATTTTTATCAATAANATTACTTCCGTGCGGTACCAGGTCTAAAAACCTGGTATTAAGGTAGGTACATCATTACATTCTATTTTAAGAATACATCATAGATATATATTCATCACTTTCCTACACCGGACCCAATTGAAGTTATGCCTTTCGCACGACAAGGAAGACTATAATTTTCTTAGCCGCACGGTAAGCGAGACGTACACAAGGTCTATAGACCTGGTTTCGCACTCAACGTGTTAACAACTAAATTACTAATAACCGTTTGAGGTATGATGTAGGTAACTCAGTTAATTTAGTTGGTCAGAAAATTATACAATAGTAATATTCAAATTGTAATGTTTTGTGCCGCTCTCGTAAAAGGTTAACTTGTGTAACGAGAGTCAGGCTCAGGCTCAGTCAAGAGAGTAAAGGATGTTATGCGGGTAGCAGTGCGTCACGGGGTTAATTGCAATTTACTTGACAAAAATCCCTGTTACATCTTTAAGCACAAAATATTCTTGTGGTTTGCAGGCGTTTCCTGGTCTATTTACCTATTAACTATCAATGCGGGAAAACGCACTATGACTTATGACATAATAGGAATTTAATATCCTACTTCCTACTAACATACCCAAATGTGGAAACTTATGAGAAGGATAGATGTATGATTTTTACTCTTTCACGCAAAAAGTAATGAATGGATTTTCATTAATTTGGCATAAAAAAATATGTATAATAATTTTATAATAATTAAAGTATGTCGACTATGTTGTCAAGCAAGTACCCA